TAGATATCTGCAGGTAGATATCAGCAGGTAGAGATCAGCAGGTAGAGATCAGCAGGTAGAGATCAGCTGGTAGAGATCAGCAGGTAGAGATCAGCAGGTGGGGAAATCTCTTTTGAACTCCACCACCACAATCTCAGGGGCTTTAGAGCTCCATCCACCCAGCCTTTCAAAAGGCTCCCCAAATCCCCCAAATCACACTGAGAGAACATCTGCAGGCAAGGAAAGGCTCTATGAGATTAGACTTGGTCTGTTACTTTGAGTCCAGAGTACAGCCACAGCCCAGTAAATCCACATCTTCTTCCTCTTTTGGGTTAGGTCCAATACCTTGCTACTGCGCACACACACACACACACACACACACACACTCACACATTTACATGCAAATCCTATTGATAATACACAGAAATACATATTGACATCAACTCCAGACCGAACTGATGCTGGTGTCATGGGAGCCTTGGACAGTGAGAAGGTCTCTCATCGTCTCAGCCACAAGCTGGTGGACGTTAACCAAATATAACAGGACATGGACCTGGATTCAGGTTTCCCATATAAAGCAAATGTCTCCCAGCACATTCCAAGTTATGGAATTCAGAAACGCTCCTTAGAATAACTTTACTATGGAACGACGGTTTCACAATCAAAATGTAATAACCTTTTCTTTGGTACATACTTTAGGAATATCCTGATATATGTTATATATACATATGTATCCTGATGTGTGGTACTTAATGTAGCTGCCATTACAGGATTGTACGTCACACACACACACACTCTCTCACTCTCTCTCTCTCTCTCTCTCTCTCTCTCTCTCTCTCTCTCTGTCTCTCGTTCTCACTCTCCCTCCCTTCTTCCCCTACTTCCAGTCTCACCCTCCGTTCCGTCAATGTATCCCTCCGTTCGTGACAGATTTGGCAGGGCCTCGTCGCTCAGTCCTCTAAGTTTTTCCTCTGGCGCACAGGTTTTGGGGGGTAGGTGTGTGTGTGTGTTTCCTGTAGGAGAGAGCCTGCTGAGGATATATATGGATTCCATAAAGCACTAGAACATACCGACCTAGACTCGGCGCCTGGCTCAATATTATTCCAGCGATGCCTGGGTGACATCTCCACAAAACAGCACAGAGTTTACACTTAAACTACTACTACCGTTCGGTTAAAGGTTAGGATTTAGATTTAGGATGACGCTGTTTGTAATGTGGGGTCATCTACCAGAGCATTAAGAGTCATTGATTTACAGACCGCAGTCACTGGCTGAGAGTGATTGGGACTTTATGCACTAAATACTTTACCTGTGCTCAGTGAAAATAGATGCACTTAAAATAAGAACCTAGCTAATCCCACAAGCAGCAGTTGACTGAACTGAAAAGAGAAAAAAAGAGAGACAGCTTTAGGCGTGTACATTTAAGTTCCGTTTGGCTTCCCCCAAAACATTGTCCAAGACCAGATATAAACAGACAAGTCTCGGAGAATGCTATCTAAAATTCCCAGACACAATTTGCATTTTTTTCGCTGTGTGTAATTGTGATCTACGAGTCGCCTTTGACAACGGAGGATGTTTGGACAGCGTCAGCCAGTTGGGGCTTTGAACCTATGTCCAACCAGACTCCAGAAAAAAGGATCCGCCCACAAAAACACGCTACGCGGCATGTTATCATACGGAAGGGGTTAGGGACGGACGAACGTACATACGTACATACAGACTGAGAGAACTGAAATGCCAATGTCAGTGTTGTTTGAACGGAATCAATGATGGATGTTATGTTCTTTTTCCGGATGATCTAGGTTTCCTGCTACGGTTGTTTCCTTTAACTCATTCTGACAGCTCCAGTGGCATTGAGACATTATCACGAGTGCGGCTCTGAATTACACAGACATATATCTCGAATTTGACAACATGCAAACAGTAGCGTCTCACTGGGCTCAGCTGCATAGCAGCTCCCATGTGGAAGTCAATGCCGGTTACTTGTACAGTCTCTAGAGTGAATTGTTATTTTGCAATCATCCTTTATTTAACCAAAAATGGGACTTGGGCATCCTGTCGCCTAAATTGGGCTTTACTTTTGACTACGGTCCATGGAGACTTATGTCCGTATAGAAGGCAAGGACTTGTTGTGATGAAGACACACTTTCTTTAGTCCGCGCGGAGTCACTGGAACGCATGGAGGTTTGGATCATGTTGTCTGACAGCAGCTCATAAACGCAAACTCCAGGGGAGCCGGCGCTGATGGTCAGAGGGTCCGACAGGTTCTTCCCCAACCTCACCTGCTGCCTCCTGTTGGAGAGGATGTCTGTGATCCGTTTACATGTTGACACGGCCACTCCCACGCTGGAGAGCTAATCTTGGAGGAGGGCTGGGATTATGGTGTTGAATGCAGAGCTTAAATCCACATACAGGATTCTGGCGTCGTTTCCAGGGGAGTCAAGATGCTGGAGAATGATGCGGGGAGCCGTGATTGATTGCTCGTGTTGCCCACAGACCTGTTTACTCTGTAGGCAAACTGCAATGGGTCTAGTACTGGATCTGTGGCGGTCTTGAGGTGTGACAGCACCAGGCGCTCAAAGGACTTCATAACCATAGAGGTCAGGGCACCTGGTCTGTAGTCATTTAGCCCTGTGATCTTTGGTTTATGACGGTTTAGGATTTGGTAACTGACGGTTTAGGATTTGAAGCAGGCTGGGACGCTGCATGACTCGATGATTTGTTGAAGATGTCTGTGAACACAGCAAAAGAAACCCTTACTCAAAATACGAAAAATGTCCAAGAAGGTTTAGTGGAAACACGTCGTTTAGTACAAATAGTTTCAGTGCGTAGCAATGTGATGAAATCTGACTAATGACAGAATTCTCTGAGTTGGCCGGCAGGTTTTAATGCCTTAGATGTTGGGAGACTGATTTGAAAGGAATGATCCCAGATGGACAAAGGCCACTCGAGGCCGTGCTCTGACATGAGATAAATTCCTCAGGTCACTGATACTGATGGCACAGAAAACGAAGGGGCGGAAGAGAGTTAGAGAAACAAAGGAGAAATTAATATCTTACAGTCACACATGGTGTGAAAGAAAGGAACGTATTTCACTCTTTCGCCCCATCCCTCCATCCTCTGGCCTCACGCTTCATTTCCGTTTAAATATGCAAGCATACTAGTCTGAGGTTTATTGAGCAAGATGACTAGGGCTGGGTTTGTTCAAAAATGTATGGAGAGAGATGAAAGGATGATGGGGAGAGAGAGAGAGAGGGGGGGGGGAGGGAGAGAGAATGATGAAGAGAGAGAATGATGGAGAGAGACAGGGATGGAGAGAGATGCCAGAGTAGGTTGGAAAGGAGAACTAGAGATCCATAGTTAAAGGGGAAGGTTTGTCTGCCAAAAGCTGCCCTGGAATGAACAAACGCATCCAGGGTTTTCCTGTGGTTTCTCTGCAATTAGGGCTACACACACACACACACACACACACACACACACACACACACACACACACACACTCATGAACACAAACACACTCATGAACACACACACACTCATGAACACACACAGACACACACCTCATTCCCCATTTTCTCAGTACTCTTTCCAATGTATGGTGAAACGATCTGGCCAGTCAGATGTATACACTGTACCGCCTGTCAGCCTACTGCTAAACACAGAGCAAACATGAGAATCCCCAATTCTCCACACCTCCCACATCATGTTTGTCGTACTATTGCTCTCTCTCTCTCTCTCTCTCTCTCTCTCTCTTTCACACACACACACACACACACACACACAGACTCACAAACCCCCTATTCTCTGACCTCTTCTTCCTGCTTCTGATCTTCTTGAGTTCGTTAAAGAAAGGCTAGTCCGTGCTTAATGTGTCTGTCTCTCTAACCGCGCAGGTGTACTTGGGAAGTGGCCATTTTGACCGGAACAGTTTGCGGTCAAAAGGTTCCATGGGAACACCGGTTCAAGGCGTAGGTCAGAACACTAGAACCGATACCAAAGGACATCGAGTCAGGATCCGTTTTTTTGACCCAGCAATAAACCTCGGGCCCCCCTGGATTAATTGGATTTCTTATTTCATGCTTTCAGCAGATGCGGGTCGGGTATCTTTCTCCCTTCCAATCTTCTTTCTGACCTTCAGACTCACATTTCCCAGCGGGGTCTTCTTCTCACGTTTCAGCCCCAGAGAAGCTCACTGTGCCGGGCAGACGGATGGCCATTGTTCCCCTGCTATGCTGGAATTCAATGTTTATTAGCCTAATAGAAGCCAATTTTCTCAGACCACTAACCTTCTAATTGCATCGTTCGGCCGTTTGACAATTATCCCCCCCCCCCCAATTTCTGCATCCCAAACAGAACGTATCCCTGTTTGGTTCCCTATCTGATTCCTTATTTTTCACCCACTGAACTCTGGTAGTGAACACAATGGTTAGTAAGGTGCAGTTGGGAGGCATACTGTGCTGCCTGTAGATAAAGCCAGACGAAGACCAACGCAGACGAAGACCAGAACAGTTTCGTGTTTCTATCCCGTGTTTCTATCCCGCATATGTTTAAGAAACCAAAAATAATGGCTGATGCTAGATCTGCGAAATCCAAAACCACCACTAGCTAGAATTCCACAAGGAGGTGCCTTACCCAGAGTGCCTTACCCAGAGTGCCTTACCCAGAGTGCCTTACCCAGAGTGCCTTACCCAGAGTGCCTTACCCAGAGTGCCTTACCCAGAGTGCCTTACCCAGAGTGCCTTACCCAGAGTGTAGTCTATAAACGATGTCATTGTCTTTAAAAAAGGGCATTGCTAACTTTAGTGGGTGTATAGGTAGAATGCTTCCATCCCTACAACCGGGGTAAAGTGACCAAACATGACCAGCAGAAGTCATATGGATTCTTAAGGACACGTAACATTTTCTGTAAAGACGTAACACGTATCAATGATTGGTTGACTGGTGTCCATATTGATCCAGTAACAATTTCTCAGAGAACAAAACATAAAGAAGTATGACCCAACTCTAGCTTTAGTATGGCGGAGTTGGTAGCTCAGTGGAGGAGTTCATGCTTTGTGTGTATGATGTCCTGGGTTCATTCCCCAGCTTACCCCCTGGTGTGTTGTTTTTTTATAAAATGTCCTCTTTTTCATCGTGTCTTCATCAAGTAAAGAAGGACCGATTCAGATCTTGGTAAAAGCAGAAAACAGTATGTTTTAATGATGTTTCAGCCCTCCGGACAGGAAGTTGAACGGGCGTCAGGTCATGATGTTGTATGTCTCTACACATTGTGCCATAATCCCTAAATATCCTCACCTTGATGCTGAAACAGATCCCAAACGTCTGGCCCAAACCTAAAACTAGTCACAATTCTAACACTGCCCCAATTGTTCTACCCTAAACCAAACCCTCTGCCATGTTTAGCCTGCATTCCGTTCTCCGGTGTACCGGGTTGGTGAGCGTATTTCCCTTCTGTCATTTCCCGTCTGGGAGCACCAGGATGGAAGTGGGAAAGCCCTGCCGCTGCAGATCTGAGGTGAGGTCATACAGGAAAAGGAGGCTGATGACCCGGGCTGCACCTGGCTGTGTGGCCGTCTGTCAGCTGAACCTGAGCTGAGGAAATGTGTGTGTTTATTCCATTAACCCTTTCTCTCTCTTGTTCTGCGAGCTCTATGATTTCTCCGTCTCCGCTCATGGATCCAGAGACTTTGGCGAGACTGGACTGTGATGTGACCCGGCCACGCCTATGTTCTAATTGGCTCCTGTTTTACAGCAAGGGCTTCTGGGTAGTGGATCAGTGTGAGAAACCTTTGTGTGTGAATGGTTTTACCATTACGTCGCTCATGCCTGCGTCTGAGTTGCCGTTTAAAAGGGCATCTAGATTGAAAGCACAGGACGATTAACTTTTTATGAACTATATTTTTCGTAAACGAGTCGCCCAGTTTAGAGCCACTCTGTGACCACTGAGATTGTCAGGATTGCTGTGTGTGTGTGTGTGTGTGTGTGTGTGTGTGTGTGTGTGTGTGTGTGTGTGTGTGTGTGTGTGTGTGTGTGTGTGTGTGTGTGTGTGCGTGCGTGCGTGCGTGCGTGCGTGCGTGCGTGCGTGCGGCGTGCGCGCGCGCGCAGTAGCAAGGTATTGGACCTAACCCAAAGGAGGAAGAATATGTGGATTTACTGGGCTGCGGCTGTACTCTGGACTCAAAGTAACAGAAAAGATGAAGTAGAGAACCAATAAGTATTTCTGATCCCCATGTCCAGTCATGCCTCCATTCCTCCATTCATTTTTTCCTCCATCCATCACTCCATTCCTAACCTCCATTCTACTCTCCGTTCCTCCCTCCCTGTGTGTGTGTGTGTGTGTGTGTGTGTGTGTGTGTGTGTGTGTGTGTGTGTGTGTGTGTGTGTGTGTGTGTGTGTGTGTGTGTGTGTGTGTGTGTGTGTGTGTGTGTGTGTGTGTGTGTGTGTGTGTGTGTGTGTGTGTGGCTGCCAAGGGCATGGTTTGAAGTTACACTAAATACATATGTTTATTTTAAAATCATTACACACCCTACACAAACAAACATACTCAAATAGGCAAGCACTGTCTCTTGTGACTGCAACAGATTTCCAGACCACTCAGGAAGTGACATCATAACTCCCTGAAAGGTGAAAGGAACGTGTGTGCATATGTGCACATATGTGTGTCTCTGTTGTGCTCCCCCAGCTGGGGTGTGTCATGGGTGTGGTGGCGGAATGCCTGATTGGCCTCTGGAGCTCAAGGCTGATTGGTCAGAGTGGTGGTATGACAGAAGTGTGAAACCTGGACACACTCCACTCCAGTCTTCACAGCAGCTACTACCAATATACATACGCTAATACCCTTATACACTAGTGTCTACCCTTATACACTAGTGTCTGCCCTTATACACCAGTGTCTGCCCTTATACACTAGTGTCTGCCCTTATACAGCAGTGTCTGCCCTTATACACTAGTGTCTACCCTTATACACTAGTGTCTGCCCTTATACACTAGTGTCTGCCCTTATACACTAGTGTCTACCCTTATACACTAGTGTCTGCCCTTATACACTAGTGTCTGCCCTTATGCACTAGTGTCTGCCCTTATACACTAGTGTCTGCCCTTATACACTAGTGTCTGCCCTTATACACTAGTGTCTGCCCTTATACACTAGTGTCTGCCCTTATACACTAGTGTCTACCCTTATACACTAGTGTCTGCCCTTATACACTAGTGTCTGCCCTTATACACTAGTGTCTGCCCTTATACACTAGTGTCTACCCTTATACACTAGTGTCTGCCCTTTTACAGCAGTGTCTACCCTTATACAGCAGTGTCTCCCCTTATACACTAGTGTCTGCCCTTATACAGCAGTGTCTGCCCTTATACACTAGTGTCTGCCCTTATACCCTTACACACTTATACACCAGCTTACACCCTTATACACCAGCTTACACCCTTATACACCAGCTTACACCCTTATACACCAGCTTACACCCTTATACACCAGCTTACACCCTTATACACCAGCTTACACCCTTATACACCAGCGTATACCCTTATACCCTTATTTTATATGGATTTCTATACCCGTATACCCTTATACACCATCTTATACCCTTATACACCATCTTTACCCTTATACACCATCTTATACCCTTATACACCATCTTATACCCTTATACACCATCGTATACCCTTATACACCATCTTATACCCTTATACACCATCTTATACCCTTATACACCAGCTTACACCCTTATACACCAGCTTACACCCTTATACACCAGCTTACACCCTTATACACCAGCTTACACCCTTATACACTAGCTGACACCCTTATACACCGGCTTACACCCTTATACACCAGCGTATACCCTTATACCCTTATTTTATATGGATTTCTATACCCGTATACCCTTATACACCATCTTATACCCTTATACACCATCTTATACCCTTATACACCATCTTATACCCTTATACACCAGCTTACACCCTTATACAGCACCTACTACCCTTATACCCTTATACACCAGCGTATACCCTTATACCCTTATTTTATATGGATTTCTATACCCGTATACCCTTATACACCATCTTACACCCTTATACATGAGTTTATACCGTTTACAGATCGTGAACCTCTCATCATCTCTCTTTCTCTTGACACCCAATCGTTGTCTCTCTCTTTTATCTCTATGCATTCAGCTAATGATGGCTCATTGCTTGCTTTTATTTTCACTTTCAATGACTCCTCTCCTTTCTCCTGGTCCTTCTGTACCATCACTTAACTTGTCTGTCAACATATTGGTTTATGAGCTGGGTGGCCCCCTAAGTCAAGGTGTGTGTGTGTGTGTGTGTGTGTGTGTGTGTGTGTGTGTGTGTGTGTGTGTGTGTGTGTGTGCCTGTGTGTGCGCACGTATGTGAATGGGGGGGTCAGGGGTCATGAAGGTGTTATGATGAAGGGGGATCTGGCCATGGAGAGGTTGGCTGAAGAGGTGGCTTTTCCTAATTATCCACATGCGTTCAGCTGTGTATTGTCACTGTGTTCAGAGCATGTTGTCCCCCTGGTCATTATTCCGTTCCACCACCTCATTCTCATTTAACCGTGAAAATGTGCCCCATTGACATGTTTTTCCAGTATTCGTAATATTGCCAGTGTGGTTAGGGGCAGGAAAACAAAACACAGCATGACAAAGCAGTCCATTGCCTGCAGGGTAAAACCAGAACATGATGTCACCGGCCAGACTGCGCTGACGTCCTGGGTAATTCCTCGCCCCCGGTGACACGGCGATGTTTCAAAGGCAGCCGTTGTTGTGTTTCTGGTTGTTTTAAGGTGCGCGTCAGGACAAGAGTGTGGGTTCAAATTAGCACGACACCTTGGTGCTACGGGTTAAGTTATTGAGGTTGCGGTTGGTGTCAGGGGTTGGGTTGGGGTTTGGAGTTGAATGGTACCTGACGATTGGTTCTGAATCCAGGTTTCGTCACAGTCTTCGGACCTTGTCAGCTTCTGTGGCTTTCATGTCCATCATGGGTCTGTGACCGGCACTATAACTGTAATATACAGTTCGCCATGCTGTTCTGGCCCGTTATGTACAACAGAACGTCTTCATGCCAAAGACCAGAGCTGCACATCGAAAACAGATCCAACGGAGAAAAGAGCGATGGACACCAGTGTGAACTACAGGCCGCTACAAGAGCCAGATGATTAACCCTCCCTCTGCTAATAAAGCCCAGACTGATTTGTGTGAGTGACGACAGCTGGAGCTCCAAACAGTGCGACCCTCAGCACGAGAGGTCTGGCCAACCATCCAGCTCTACGCCAGTCAGGATTGGGCTGTCACCTGATCCACGGAACCAGGCCTGCTCTGTCGGGTTTCTTCCGTTCTGTCCTGTTCTGTCTGTTAATCGTCTTTGTCTCTTTCTCTCACCGCAAGTGTCTCTCTCTCACACTCTCTCTCTATTTCTCTCTGACACACAGTTAAATTCAATGTACTTCTCTCTCGCCGTCTCTCTCCCTCTCTTTTACTGTAATTGATTATCTCTCACTCACTACTTCCTGCTCCTCCCTCCAAACCTGGGATATTAGATGGGTGTTAAGTCTGGGTCAAATGTGTAACTGAGAAGCGACCGGCCAAACCAGGCATGTTAATGGGAAAAGGCCTAATGCTTTATGAAGTCTGCGGAAAGGGCTTTCGGCACCTCTATTTTGAATTTTTCTAGTGCAAAAAGGTACGTGAATAAAACAGTATCACACACACACACGTGTACATGTGCACACACACGCGTGTCCATGACGAGGCAACATTAAAACCCACTCACAGACAATACAACACAGGCACAATTCTTCCTACACGCACTCGTACAAACGTCTGGCGGTTTTTAAATGGATGGAGATATTATTCTGGTACGAAATGTGAACACCGTAACAAGTATGCACCCCCGTTTCTGGATGCATCCCCCAAGTGGATGTGCTCTGTCATCTCTGTTGGACGGGGGCCAGCTTTTCACATGACCATGGAAGGACCACTAAGGTGAGGTACCATAAGTTCGCCCGAGGCCCAGCGGATGTAGAATAAAACATGCCACTTTTTACCTTTTTTCCTGCGTTTTT